TGAGGTACACACAGCGTGGTGCTGGCTGTTACCTGGCTCTGTTGATGTCCTTGTGGAGGGTGACATCACGATTTTGGGAACTTCTGCAAGAGGAGGAAATCACATATGGCAAGGTAGGAAGAGGCCAGTAATCCCCCCGTTATCCACTGAGGACCAGCTCCCCAGCTTCCCAGCACCCAGCAAACTGCATGCAAGTGGTAGGACCACTGTACTGACAGGAGTGTGATTCCCCCACCCCATCAAAATCACTGTCGTTGTGCGTTCCCCAAACCCTGATGTTAGTAGAGGTTTTATTTTTGGGAAATATTACTGGATTTGGGGAAACCCAACGTAATGCTTTTGAGAGTCATCCAAGTTACTGTATTTATCAGTAAGTTGTTTAATAAGGTCAATAGTTTCTTCATTTTTATTGGCACGTAATATTCAATTATATGAATGTAGCACAATTTATTCCTCTTTTGAATAACATTTAGGTTGTTTTCAATTTAAAATTTGAATAATTATTTGAGGAGCTGCTATGAACACGTTGTAGGATTTTGGGTGAGCAGATGTTTTAATTTTTGTAGGATAATTATTTGTGAATGAGATTGCAGGGTCGTACAGTGACTGCGCTGCTTCCCATTCACACAGCGGTGGATGAGGAGCACAGTTGGTCCACATCCTGATTAGCACTTGATTATGTTAGCACGTTTGTGTCAGTCACTGTAGAGTGTGAGTGGTATTTTTAAAAGGTGACTATTTTTGTTTGTTTGTTTTAATTTCTATTTAAAGACAGAGAAATAGACATGGACAGACAGAGATCTTCCAGGCGCTGGGTAATACTTTCAGTGCTGTCAGTGCTGGGGCAGGCTGGGCCAGACTGGAGCTGGGGGTTGGGAACTCGCTGAGGATTCCCTAGGTGGTATCAGACCCAGCTGCCTGAGCCTACGCTGCTGCCTCCAGGGGGTACAGCACGAAACTGGATGTGAGCATCTCAGCCGCGAGTCCCAAGCCTCCGCCCAGTATCCCGTGAAACTGATCTACCTTGCTTTTGACTGTGTTTCTTTGTTTAGGTTTCATACTGGTTGATGTGAGGATTTACGTATACATAGGGAACTTTTCATGTGCTGCTCGGTTTCACTGATACACTTCTCCAAGTGAAACGTAGAAATCTATCAGCGTTCTCCTGGCTTTTCATTTTGATGTTTCAGCTGTTACATGTAATATGGCCTTTACAGTTGGTTTTATAGATTTTGCTTTCACTCATCAGATATGTACTAACAACAACAACAACAAAAAACCCTCGAGAATAGTCTGTTGTGTTTACCCAGAACTTGACTATTTTTGTAGCTTCTCCTTTATTCTAAATGTTCCAAAATTTTCTTGTCTCATTTCTGTTCTGTCTGGAGAACAGAGCAGCTCTCCTGTCAACAGTCTTACCTTTAACAGGCAGTGTCTGCCTTTAGAAAGGATACAGTTTAGGAGTGATTTTTGTTTTTCCTCTTCTCAGCATTTTATTTATTTATTTGGCTACTTTCTAGTCTGATTTCAAATTAGAAATCTGCAGTGATTAAAGTAATTTTTCTCCTGTAAGTATGATCCTCTGAATGCTCTCATCCACAGCCAGAGTGTAACAACATCCATCAGAACATAAGGGACCACAGGCCAAGGTCTTCCCTGAGCTTCAGACATGTATTTTAAAGTACTGAATTTTGGGTCCTGGCGTGATAGTGTAGTGGTTAAGTTCCTCGCCTTACACACGTTGGGATCCCATATGGTCACTGGTTCTAATCCCGGCGGCCTCGCTTCCCATCATGCTTGTGGCCTGGGAAAGCAGTCGAGGATGGTCCAAAGCCTTGGGAGCCTGCACCTGCATGGGAGACCTGGAAGAGCTCCTGGCTCCTGGCTTCAGATTGCCTCAGCTCCAGCTGTTGTGGTCACTTGGGGAGTGAACCATCGGACAGAAGATCTTCCTCTTTGTCTCTCCTCCTCTCTGTATATCCGCCTTTCTAATAAAAATAAATAAATAAATCTTTAAAAAAATTTTTTTAGAAATACTTAATTTTGTCTCCCAACTTTGCTTGCCCATGAAACTTAAGATACACTCCCACTGTTTCTAGCTGAATTTCATGGCCAGCTATTCCCTAACAGCCATTCTTTATTTTCTCTGTCTCTTAAGGTATATTCACGTAGTCTGCTAGCCCTTTGCAATTCCATCTCTCAACTGTATCGGTAGGTTCTTCCTCTTTGCATTGTCTCCATTGCTACCATCCTTTTCCAAAGCTACATGATGCCATTTCAGAATTATATTTTTCTAATTTTTCCATATGTAGTATATTTTTTCACACAGCAGTGATCCTTCTGTCTCTCTCTCTCTTTCTTTTTGAAGTTTTATTTGCAAAGCAGAGTGACAGGAAGGGAGAGAGATCCATCTACTGATTCAGTCCCTGGCTGAGCTGACGCTAGCTGCCAGGAAACCTCCGTCTGGCTTCCTGTGTGGGTCATAGGAATCAGGCACTTGGGCTGTCACCTCCGTCCCCCAGGAGGTTAGCAGGGAGCTAGGTATGAAGCCTGGTGGCCAGGACTTGAACCGGGGCCTCAGATATGGCATGTTGACATCGTTGGCGGCCGCTTGCCTGCTGCCCCACAATGCCAGCCCCGGTCGTGATCTTTATAAAATGAACGTGAGACTAGTGACTTTCTGCTTAAATCAGCTTACTGTGTTTTCTTTGTAGTTAGAATAGAATTCTAAATCCTGATCTGGACAGCTCTCTCTCTTGCATTTTTTCTTGTTTCTCTTCTGACTTCCTCAACAATAGTCGCACTTTTCGAGTCTTCTGTGTACCAGATTCTTTGTTCCCACTTTTGTCTGTTTGCACTTGACACATCTCTGCTCTCACTTCCATTGGCTTAGAGCTTTCCATTGCTTCGGGCCTTTTATAGATATCACTTTCATTAAAATGCCTCAGTCTGTTACAAAAGAGTTTTACAAAAAGTGATAAAATTACTCTTACCTCTCTTGATTCTTTTTTTAAAAGTTCTTTTTAAAAATAAAGATGATATTCCTATTGATACTGTGTTCATTATTTTAATTAATAAGTGTTGTTATGGGGCTGACTTGTGGTATAAAGAGTTAAGTTACTGTTTGCGAGGCTGGCATCACAGATGGGGTGCCAGCTCGGTCCAGCTACTCTGCTTCTAATCCAGCCGCTTCTTATGTGTAAAGCAGTGGAGATGGCTCACATGCTTGGGGACCTGTCACCCGAGTGGGAGACCAGGGATGAATCCCTGATTCTTGGCTTGCTGTCCCTGGTTCTGGGCTGCTCCCGTTCTGGCTGATGAGGCCAATCTGGGCTGACCCAGGAGGCTGAAGGCCTTTCTTCCTTATTCCTTCTTGCTCTGCTTTTTAGGTATATAAATACATTTTGAAAAGAAACAGCTATTGTTAAAATATCTCAATGTAATTCTTTCAAATAAAGTTAAATAATAATAAATACAGACCACTTAAACAGAAGGTCTTTGGAGATCTCTTTAACTTTTTATTATGATCAAATACACAGAGCACCAACTTCACCATTATAACATTTTTAGGTCTACAATCTATAGCATTAAGTATGTAGTCACAATGTTGTACAATCATCAATTGCAGAACTAAGTTTCTAGTACTAGAAAATTCTACGTATTTCATGTAAGTGGAATTATTCTATTTGTTTATTTCACTTATTTTCAAGGTCTTTCTATGTTGTAATATGTGAGTATATCAAAGCTTCCTTCCTTTTAATGCCTGAGAATATTACATTCCATGTTTCTACTACATTCCAGTTATTTCTCTTTTTACAGTTATGTGAGAGCAATTAAATATAATTATTGGCCATTTAGATTTATTGATTAAACAGTGACTCTTAGGATATAGAATCTGCATGTGGATGTAGTACGAGGTGTGGAGATCCTTTCCCAGAAAATACTTTGTGATTCAGAGAAGGAGAAATTCAACTTGGCATTGGAGATTGAGTCATTAAATGAGGTAACTTTTAGTCATTCACCTAATTTTTCTTATACTGTTGATGGTACTGGTTTTATGTTTAAGGAATGTGTAAACTTTGTCTCTTAATTGATAAAAAAAATCATCCACACCAAAGTCATTCTTTTTCTAATAAGAATTAAAATTATAATTTTATATTTCAACTTTATTGAAGACTGTTTTCATTCTACTGTCCTTAATTTAATCCTGTTAGTTCTTTTTTTTTTTTTTTTTTAAAGATTTATTTTTATTATTTTTTCATTGGAAAGGCGGATATACAGAGAGGAGAGACAGAGAGGAAGATCTTCCGTCCGATGATTCACTCCCCAAGTGAGCGCAACGGGCCGATACTATGCCGATCCGAAGCCAGGAGCCTCTTCCGGGTCTCCCACGCGGGTGCAGGGTCCCAAAGCTTTGGGCTGTCCTCGACTGCTTTCCCAGGCCACAGGCAGGGAGCTGGAAGGGAAGCGGGGCTGCCGGGATTAGAACCGGCGCCCATATGGGATCCCGGGCGTGCAAGGCGAGGACCTTTAACCACTTGCGCCACCGCGCCGGGCCCAATCCTGTTAGTTCTTACTGACCTCAAACAGTGGCTGGTAAAAAGCTTCATCAGTATTTACTGACTCAGTGAATAGTCTCAGCTTTATGGCTACAAACACTTGTGCCATTTTGTTTTTTAGGTTACACCACCAAGAGCCTTCATTTTTTGTAATTTTACTAGTTTAACTCATGAAGTATCTTTGTTACAGGTTTATACTGTTACTTTTATTTAGATTTATTTGAGAAGCAGGTGGAACAGCCTGCAGTGAGGGGGCCCGGGTGGACGGAAGCTGTGGCCCTGGAACTCCAGTCAGGGCACCTGCCTGAGCCAGCAGCACTGCTGCCAGTGGGGTTAGCCCGCAGCGGGGCTCAGGGCCCTCCTGTCTGAGAGGTGGGCGTCAGGACAGCTAGGCTCAACACCTTCCCAGAGGCTTTTGATTTCAGAAGTTTCTGTGATTGTGCTGGGTTCTGAAATTTTATGATTAAGCTATGGTGCCAAAATATTAATGAAAGAAGTTATTTCCTGGCTTCTGTCTGTGCCTGTGAATCAGATGGTAACTGTTGCTCTGCCTTTGGTTTTGTGGTTTGTTGAATTTGTTTAGGTGATGTAAAAGATGACGCTGTGCTGGGCGTTTTCCTCTGTTCTAGTGACTGTTTTGTTGTATACAGGTCTTCTCCAAGGAAACTTTCTCCATAGTCACCTCGTCATCTGCTTGGGAATCGGTCTCCTTTCTGTACTGATCCTTAAATAGTCTTGTTTAAGCTGTTGTTGGTGTGATTATTTTTTTTTACATGTATTTAAAACGTGTGTCCAGAGCTTTGGAAGTAACTCGGCTCAGTCTTTTGCCGTCACTACACTTGCCCTTAGGTTGGTCTCCACCCACTCTGGGAGTGGTGAGTGCTCACCCTCTCATTGGTCCCCTCTGGCCGCAGCGCGTGAGTAAATGCCACCTGCATGTGCTGTTGCCTCTCAGACAGTGGAGTGCTCGGCTTCCTTCTCACATACAACAGCTTAACCTTTGTGCTTCTGGCGGAGGGATGGTGCTCGGGACAGTTCTGCTTCCACCGAATCCTTACGGCAGAGAGCAGGATGCAGCACCGTGCTGCCTGTGCAGCGGAGCCTCGGAAGCGGGGCTCCCCGGCGGAGCAGGTACGGCTCGCAGGGCGCAGCAGTTCAGGGGAAAGGGCTGACCACCATAGATCAAGTGTGAAAGGCGACCTCAAAAATTCATCTTGTCGGATGTTGTTGTTATTTTTGGTCACTGGAGGCTTATATGCTTTGTTTCTGGCGTTTTGTAGAAAAGTCTCAATAAATACTTACCAAACTGAGGAAAGTATATGTGAGTAACGGTGTCTGGGGTTAAGCTTTTCACAGTAATCAACGTACATCCATCTTAAGCTGTATTGAGAACTACAGGCTAGTTTAGCCAACCACTTTATACAGTTTTTAAAAGGTGAAAAGTTATAGATATCTCGAGGAATATACAGCTGAATAAAATGGCATTTTGGCAAGATAAAAGTTTATGAAATACTTGAAAATGCCTGAAGTGTAAATCTTTTCTTTTCTTCAGCTACTATATGATGAACTTCTAATCAGACTGACAAATTCTTGAATGATTAGCTGGCAGAAAGTGTTTTCATTCTATTCTGATCGACTATGTTAACATAAAGTTAAAAATAAAAATAAAATAAAAAATGAAGGTGCTTTTAATAAAATGAAACATTAACTTCAGGAATTATCTCAGAATTTGAAATTAACTTATTATCTTGGACTTGTTTAGTATTAATAATTGGTTGTGTAAGCTGCTATATCTGTTCTGCTTTTTCTGTTTTATCCTGCAAATGTCAGAGTAATGCTATCTTTTATAGTCGTCCTGATGGGTGTCTGCTACCCAGGTCCTTTCAAGAAGTAAAAGCACAGTATTTTCTAGTCTTGAACCTGTGGCCGACCTCTGTGACAACAATTCATGGAAGATTAGTTAACTTGCTATCTCAGTTACCTAATATATAATAGTCGCTTCATCGTGTTCAAAAATAAAACATTCCCAGCCTACACTTGCGGGATTCGGGCGGGTGCAGCACATCTGAGTCATCCCGTCTGTCTTTGACAAGGAAAGCGGCCTAGACTGGACTCACTGGGTAACACGGGAACATTTACTTGCTATTCCCATGGGCTTTTGTCTAATTTTATGTTTGTTTTTATTTCTTGGCTTGGTCTTTTCCATTTAGTTCTTTAACTCTTTATGAGTCAATACTTGTTCATTTTTGGCCTCATAAAAATGTTAGGGTTTTTTTTTTTTTTCTTTTGAAAAAGTTTTCTTTTTGTTAGTGCTGCCGGGTAGGATGGCGTGTAAGTGGATATCCTGTGCAGACAGATCGTACAGGAAACTGACCCTTAGCCCTGTGAGAACACAAGGTTGAGTGGGAAGAAAGCTGGAAGGAAGGAAGTTGAAATCTCTTGACTTCATCAACAAGACGGTAAAATCAGGAATGGGAGTTGGGGACAAAAGATTTTCAGGTTATGATTCCGTTAATACTTTAGTCTCAAAAATTATTTTTGTCCCATTTTTATTTCTTTGTGTATATTTGAGAAATAGATAACACTGTTTGGCCTAAAAGTGTCTTTTAAACTCCCATACAGTTATTCTCTATATCTGATCCTATTTTCATCAAGTGCCATGGTTTTTTAAGCAGTTGCCTTGTTTTTAGCAGTCCTGTGTTGGGACAGGAGTTCTTTCCAGTACAGTTGAACACTTTATCAATATGTCCTTGCATACTGAGTCATGAGTAAGAATTCTTGTCCTTTTGAAGTGTTTGTTCAGTTTCGACCTTGCCTGCTCCCACAGTTTTGCTTTAACTTCTGCCTCACAGCACCCACTGTGAGTGTGGCAGTCTGATCTTTGATGAGAACCTCGGCAGTATCAGCACCAATCTGGTACCACTGTGTTGTGAACCAATCAGGCTACAATCCTGATCTTCCGAAAACATACATTTTATGTACTACACATGAACAGGATACAAGTATACAATATATTTGGGAATAAGAGCTTTGGAGATACATAAATCAAGAAAGGGGAAATGAGGGTGTTGTGAGGAATGGATGTATTTTTAAATAAGCTGATCATGTTGGGTGGCCAGGCTTGGCACAGATTTCTGTCTACACACAGGAAGGAATCTAAAGGCAAGCCAGGGAGCAAGGTTTACATGCTGTGAAAGTAGCCATTCTGGAGGGAGTGCTGGGCAACCTAGGAGAAAGAGCTGTGAGCACCAGGGTCCCTTCTGTTCTGTACTTCTGTCTGGAGGTGTAGGAGGTACTGTCAGGGACAGACCTTCATAGGATAATCAGAGAGCTGGAGTTTGGCACAAGGCTTGAGTACTAACCATTTCCTTGACCATTTTTGGAAATCTCAGAAGTGTCCTTGCATAAGGTGCATCATGGGAGTGGGAATGCCAGCCATGGTTATTTCATTATAACAACATTACAATGAACTGAAGGACATCCCAGGGACACAGCTTGATGCTGCGTTACAGCAGCTTTCTAGCAGGCACTGATTCTAGTTGCAGAATTGTGATTTCTGCTACATGGAAGGGGAAGGAATTGATGATGCATATGTGGAAGGGAGGCTTGGCTGGTGCAACTGGGTACTCTGTGGCCGGCCTTCACAGGAACCAGTCATGGAGCTGTCCTGTGGTCAGCTGGGGCTGCTCTGAAGGCTGTGTGGGGCAGTGCTGTCAAACTTGAGCTCTGCTCATGTAGAGAATGCCAAACGGAGAGGGATTTATTGGAGTGAAATTCCATGAGTTGTAGCTTCCATGTACAAGCAAAAGCCAGGAAGCCAAGAAGCCAATGGCCAAAATGAGGCTAGGAGAGGAGGAGTGGATGAATTATGCAGAGCAGATTCTGAAGGGCCTGGAAGGATTTCAGGATTTTGATGGGCACTGTAAAATACGAAGCATCACAGTATTTCAAACAAGGGAGCAACACAGTCTGGATAACAAACCATAGGGAGCAGATATGGAGAACTGAAATCAGTGGTCAAGTAAAACAAGCTAGGTGGAATATAATGGGAAATGGGAGGGTTCTATATAGATTATTTTTTTATTTTTATTTGCCTTCAGAGAGAGGGAGAGAGAACACTCTCACTGGGTTACTCTGTAGATGCTAAACATCTGGGTCTAGGTTAGGCCAAGGCTGAGACAACAGTCTAGGATCCCAGGTGGGTGGCAGGAACTTAATTATTTGAAGGGTTGCTGCTGCCTGCCAGGGCCTGCATTGGAGGGGGGAAGGCAGGAGCCAGGAGCCAGACCCAGATATCAGACTCAGGTACTTGATGTGGGATGCTTTAACTGATAGGCTAAATGTCCACCCCTGATTAGGGTTGTGAAGGCAGTGCCAACAGGATTTCTGAGTAGAGTGACTGGCTATATAAATGCACGAACAGAGTCATGATTGAATCCAGTTTTTTTTTAAAGATTTATTTTATTTTCATTGGAAAGGCGGATATATAGAGAGGAGAGACAGAGAGGAAGATCTTCCATCCGATGATTCACTCCCCAAGTGAGCGCAATGGCCGATGCTATGCCGGTCCGAAGCCAGGAGCCTCTTCCGGGTCTCCCACGCGGGTGCAGGTTCCCAAAGCTTTGGGCCGTCCTCGACTGCTTTCCCAGGCCACAGGCAGGGAGCTGGAAGGGAAGCGGGGCTGCCGGGATTAGAACCGGCGCCCATATGGGATCCCGGGCGTGCAAGGCGGGGACGTTAACCACTTGCGCCACTGTGCCGGGCCCGAATCCAATTTTTTTTTTTTAAAGATTTATTTTTATTGGGAAGGCAGATTTGCAGAGAAAAGGAGAGACAAAAATCTTCCATCTGCTAGTTCACTCCTCAAGTGGCTACAGTGGCTGGAGCTAATCTGATCCGAAGCCAGGAACCAGAACTTCCTCTGGGTCTCCCATGTAGGTGAAGGGTCCGTTCTGCATTGCTTTCCCAGGCCACAAGCAGGGAGCTGGATGGGAAGTGGAGCAGCTGGGATTAGAATCAGTGCCCATAGGGGATCCTCGCACATGCAAGGGGAGACCGTCAGCCACTAAGCTGTGCTGGGCTCTGAATCTAACTTTTTTTTTTAAGATTTATTTATTTAGAAGGATTGAGGTCTTCTAGCCACTCAGAATACCACAGTGGCTGGGGCTGGACCAAGCCAGAGGCAGGAGCTGGGCACTCCAACCAGGTCTCTTAGGAGGGTGGCAAGGACCCGAGCATTGGGGTGATCTTCCACTGCTCTTCCAGGCACGGCAGCAGAAGGCTGAATGGAATTGGAGTGGCTAGGACTTGAACTTTATGTGCATGTGGGTTGCGGTGATGCCACAGGTAGTGGCTTAACCTGTTGAGTCACAACACCAGCTCAAAGTCTTTCCATTTTAGTAAAGGATGGGCAGTTTGTAGCCTATCGGACATTTGCAAGTTTAGATAATTTTTTCATTAGGATGAGTTCATTTTTTTTTTTTTTCAAAATGAAGAGTGACAGAGGTGGAAGAAATGTGGTCAAAAAAGCTAAACCAATTCTAAAGCTGTTAGAATTACAGATTTTACCCACAACAAGAATTTCTGCTTCTATCATGTGAACAGTAAAAAGTCAATCTTTAAATATTTCATTAATGTGATTTTTCAAGACTAAGATTGGGCCCAGTGTGATAGCTCAACTGGTTAATCCTCTACCTCTAGGTGCCAGGATCCCAAACGGGCATCAGTTTGTGTCCCAGGAAAGCAGAGGAGGATGCCCCCCGCAAAAAAAAATAAGATTATATCATTGTTTGTTGGCATGTATTATCATATATTCATTTAGCTAACAGTTGAATACATATTATGTGACTCAACAGAACAAAATCTCATAAACTTCTTACTCCCAAGGAGCACATTCTACACTTTCAGAAGCAGCTCCAGTAAGTGGCTGTCACTATAGAGACAAGGATGGAGGATCAGCATCGTGAGCGGTCTGCTGGGGAGGGCACAGTGGGGCCAGGCAGGGGACGGCTCCCAGGGGAGCTGAGTGCTGCAGGATGTGAACAGTGGTGGATTGAGACCACGAGCACCCACCTCAGAGGACTGAGCTGTGTGAACCAAGGTCTGAAGGTTGGAAGCTGCATGGACAGTGGCCAAGTTTGCAATTGGAGGGGTGGGCTGGGCCCAGACCCCATCATAGAAGGCCTTAGCATCGTGCTAAGGAGATTTAAGTGTGTTGATGAACTGTTGAAGAGGCTTAAGAGTGACATGGTCAAATTTTTGTCTTACATAGATCACTTTGCCAGCTGTGTGGAGGATGGATTTGAGGGAGACAAGACTGGAGGCAGTAGTCCAGGTGAGAGATGTTGGGGTTCTGCACTAAGTAAGGCCCTGGCAGTGGAGATGGAGAAGAGGGAGTGGGCATGAGATGAAATACAATCACAGATGCTCTTCTTCTCTCTGCCTCTCTCTGTGTCAACTAGAATGATGAATGCCTAAATCAGGGCCAACTCATTCTGTGACCTCCTCGCTGCCTGCTTTGTTGTGTTTCATTAGTAAATTCTTTCCTTGTGCTCAGGATACACAGAGCCTGTTTGCTCATTCTTCATGTCTGCACGGGCTGGACAATGCTGTCCCGCTTCAGCGCTGTCAGGATGTGCTAGCAGTTGTAATACTGTCTGTGTACTGAATTCGGATGAATTTTCAGCTGTTGAACTCATTGTGAATTCCTTTCCCTTTTTGTATCTTGCAGAAGCTTTGCATCGCCCCTATGGTTGTGATGTTGAACCCCAGGCACTGAACGAAGCCATCAGGTGGAGCTCGAAGGAGAACTTGCTCGGAGCCACTGAGAGTGACCCTAATCTCTTTGTTGCACTTTATGATTTTGTAGCAAGTGGTGATAACACACTCAGCATCACCAAAGGTGAGGTGTCTGCATGGTACCTCTCCATTCGCATTGGTAGTTGAAGGATACGGAGCCTCTTCCGGCTTCTGCCACTGGCTAAAATTAAGTAGGTGATTAAGTGCTCTTTTTTCATTATTGTTTTCACCTGTGTATGTTGCAATGCCCTGTGAAGTGTAATTCCAATTTTTAGGGTTTATTAAGGGCAAAATGAAAACGTACACTTGAGAAACACTCTTTAATATGTACATAAATTGCCTTTATTCTCAGTACTGTGTGTTGTATGCCATAAGGGTTGGATTCCTGTTCTGACTGGGCTGTAGTTTCCCAAGTTATGTTGCCAGACCCCAATGCTCCTGGAAAGTGTGGCCTGTGGACTCTGCCCAGAATTAGTTCATAGCGGTCCTTGGTGAGATTAAGAATGCGCCCTCGGATTGGAAGCCAAGCACAGTGCTAAGGGCAGAGGTCATTTCTGAGTTTGACTAACATGTTAATATTTGGAGCAAGACGTTCTGTGTGAAGATGGTGAGCCGGTGTTTTGCCTTGTGGCACAAACTTCTTGTTGAGTTCCAGCCTTCATTGCTACTGACCTGTCTGCTGGCTTATTAACCCCTGTTAACGAAAGGAATAGTACGAAGGGTTTTTATTATTATCTCAACAAAGTTGCAGTTTATTCAGTAGTAAATTCTTAGAAAAAGGAGACTTGAGGCATGACCAGATAAAATCATACTTCTATTTCTTGAAAACAAACGAACAGAGCAAAACTTTTATGAGAAAGAAATAGAACCATGAAAGGGTTTTCATTGTGTGCATGGATTCTTGCTTTCTACGTAAGCTTATTCTTGCATCTTGAATTTATGAAAGGCCCTTACAGAGAAAAAAAAATGTATTTTAGGATAATTGTTAGCTAAATGAAAAGGGTAGCTTCAGTGAATATTTGTCATGTAAATGCTTTGTACTTGGTTCTTTGTTTTTGTTTTATTTATAATGCTTTGTACTTACAAGGTTCAGAATGTCACATTCAAAGGTAAGTTGATATTCCAAATTAAGGAGACAAATTTCTCTCCTTGAATAATACTTAGCTATAATTGAATTTTTTAAAAATTGATTTTCATTTAATTTGAAAGGTAGAGAGCCAGATGGAAGTCTTCCGTTTGCTCATTGACTCCTCTAGTACCTGCTACGAGCAGGGCTGATTCTGGCTCCGGCCAGGAGCTGGGAATTCGTTCTAGGTCCTCCGTGTGTGGTCGGGACCCAGGCACTCCCCGCCGCCTTTCCAAGGTCTGGATTAGGAACTGAATCAGATGTGGCGATAAGGCTTGAACCATGCGCTCGCCTGTAGGATGTGGGCATGACAGTGGCAGCCCAGCTCCTGCACCAAGTGCCCACCCATTCATAGTGTGTATATACATCAGTTTTCAAAATCCAGGCAGATCAAATGCAGAAATTCTTCGGCTTGAATGTCTCAAGCTGAGTCCTCCTTGCAGCCTAGAATTGGATAGGATTGTTTGTGTAGTCGTGGCAGAAGTTGTGAAAGCGTAAGGAAGCATCAGAGTGCGTTATCTCCTCTCAGTTTACATACAGATGTTGGCAGTGTTGAGGACAGGATGGTGATCGTGTGTGTGTTGGGCTTGTAAGGGTTATGCTTATTCAGCCGAAGGAAAATTCTCTGCAAGGTTTAAGGCTAAAATAGAAATTCGGAGAAATTTTATATTGTGCTGTAGTCTTTGTTAACATGGAATCTGTTTTACCTTTCCTGACACTTCAGTGGAGAGTCAGTGAAGTGATGACTCAGAATATTCTTCCCTAGGTGTAATTTTCTTGTCAGCATTTTCCAAGATAGCCCAGTTGCCATGGCAACGCTGATGAGGAAAGTCCTGGGAAGCGTCGGTTCCCAGTTAGAGCAGCCCTGATGTGCAGCTCCGGCACACGGGCTCTCAGTCTGTGGCCAACAGGGTTTCTCTTAAAACCCACAGAATGCTAACGCGTGTGTCAGGTTCTTCCTAACAGGAATTGATATCATGCTGAGGCTGTTTTATTATTTTTGAAAGATACTATATTTTTTAAAAAAGAAAACACTAGTACTAATTTTAGTACCTTCTTTGAAGCTGGAATTTTGATTGATTTTAAGAAAGTGAATTCTCCCTGGGATTCCTGTGCAGATAGGATCAGTGTTGCTGTCACTGGCGGTCATGCCCGGTCAGCTTCCACAATTGCCAGAACGTTCTGGGCTAGAAGGCAAGCAAACCAGCAACCAGGGGGTTGGCTGTGCAAATTAAACAGCCTGCCATGATCGACTCTCTTAAGGAAGGCACTTATGTAGGATAGAATGTGTGTAATTACCTGGTGCTTAATCCTCGCCTCTAGTTCTTGCGGATCAATAATGAAAAGCCACAGAGCAACACTGTGTTCTTCAGGTTTGCTAGCAAGGTCCTGTCTTGTCTCTCTCAGTGTGGTTGGCATGATCCATTGCCACTCCAGACACACTGCCATCTGTGTGCAGGTCCTGAGTGTCTCCTGCATACGCGTATGCACATGCACACTGCTGTGCTCTTAAATCCACTTGTTTCAGGTGGGAGTTAGAGCCTAGCAGAAACTTACCTGATGGCAAACATTTTTGTAGACTGTTGGCAAAAGCTAGGTGCTTACCAGACCACTGAGTTTTTCCTCAGTAGCCTTTACCTGATGACTTCCAGGCCATGTGCCTTTTTTATTGATTTAGCTTCCCTTCTGCTTTTTTGATGCAGAGGAAATCAGCATGAGCTCCGTACAAAGGCTTGCATTATGATTATTATTTTAAAGCCTTGCATTTCTTAATGATCAGAGCCTTAAGGCACTACAAAGATTCTGTAACATTTATCACTAACGGTACCTCTTTCGCCTTCCGTGTTTTGCTAGATGAGCCTTTAACCCATGCTTCAAGTATGGGCGTAAGAGGCATGTTAAAGTCTAACTTGGTTATGTTCAACTTTATTAGAGAAATCAAGCTCTGCTACAAAGACCCGCAGAGAGACTTGGGCTTGGGGGGTTCCAATTGTAAGAGTCAGCTTCTGTTTCCACACCAATTTTTCAGGAATGAGTAGGAGTGATTCATTCTTCATGGGGAGTAGGGCGGAAATTGGAAACTGTTCACTCTTAACACTTGAGTGTGGAAAAATCTTGTGTTTGGGAGTTTTCACTGCTGATTCACCTACTCCCATGCCCTGCCCTGCCCCTCAGTGATCCGTGTTTTTGTGGTTTGTTTACATAGATGATATTACTACTTTGGTGCCAAATGAAATTTAGCTGGTAAACCTGTCTTATCCCTAACTCCTTGCTTGTGATCAGCATTGAACTATTTACATGTAAAATATACTCTTTGATTAACTACTTTGAAGGAAAGTGAATTTTCTATGTTTCTTTAAAGTGAACATTGCATCACTTTCAGTCATTTGAGTGATCTTTCTTTGCATTCCATTTTATTACTATATAAACTTTGCTAAGGACAGTTTTTAGATGGTGTGTTGTGTTAGTCAGCTTTTGTCACAAATAGTGAAATACTAAGAAAAGAAGTGTATATTTCGGCTCACAGTTCTGAAGGTTCAAATCCCTGAGAGCATGTCCTTGTTGATTTGGCATCAGGACTGGTGCTGATGCTGGCAGAGTCCTAAGGTAATCCAGAGCATCGTGACAAGAGCGGGTACGGCTATGGCTGCATAGTCTTTTATAAAGCAACTACATTAATTATAGGGGCTCCACCCTCAGGATCCAACTCAGTCACTTCCAAATACCATGACAGCCAGGTCAGGCCAGGAGCCAGGAACTCCATCCCAGTTTCCCACGTGGGTGGCAGGGACTCACATACTTAATATAGTCAACTCAAGTATTTATATAATGCTGCCTTCCCAGGCATATTAGTAGGGAGCTGGATTGAAAGCAGAGCAGCCAGGGCTTTCATTGGCACCCCTGTATGGGATACTGGCATCAAAGCTGTTGTTGAGGCTGCTGTGCCAGGATGCTACCCCAACAACAAATTCAGTTATGTTTTTGCCATCTTAGTATCATTAATATAAGTGCTTGGGGGTCAAACCTTCCACATTCAAGCTAATACCAGCCACAACATGTATAAACCTTTAAAAATATGTTGAGCCACATCTCACTATGCTTTTGTGGTTTACATTCTAATTAAAGAGATCTCTCAGGGTAGAGTGAGCAGTCAAGTTTGGCTTTTTGTTTATATCATTTAAGACAGCTTTTAGCATAAAGTTTATATGTTTATTTTTCAATAAATTTAAAGTTTGATAGAATACTGCTTCACTGTAAAAGGAAATCTTAACAGCGTTTGGTCTGTGTTTTCACTGCCAGGTGAAAAGTTACGAGTCCTCGGTTACAACCAGAATGGCGAGTGGAGTGAAGTCCGTTCTAAGAATGGACAGGGTTGGGTACCAAGCAACTACATCACTCCTGTGAACAGCTTGGAGAAGCATTCCTGGTACCATGGCCCGGTGTCCCGCAGCGCGGCCGAGTACCTGCTCAGCAGTCTCATCAACGGCAGCTTCCTGGTGCGAGAAAGCGAGAGCAGCCCTGGGCAGCTATCCATCTCGCTCAGGTACGAGGGCCGTGTGTATCACTACAGGATCAATACCAGCACAGACGGCAAGGTAAGATTTGCCAGGACTCACGGCCAGCGGTGGGCTGGCTGCTCTGTGGACACTCAGAATAACCAAAGTGGGCTCTAGATTTGACATGAAACAAGCATGGGCTAGCCTTAGGAGTTGAGTCTGTTTGGCATGTGAGACAAACCTTACTGTTTCCAAAAGAATATGGTAATGGAAATTTTTTTTCCTTATTTTAATTTTGTTGATGATCTTTACATAGTTATTAGGGCGCAAAGGGTCAGAGGCTAGGGGAGAGTGGGTAAGACCATTGTTTTCACATCCTCTTTTCCCCTGCCTGTATCTGGGGGAAGGAGCGAGATAAGGAGAAAAGCCACCCTCCCACCCATCCCAGGTTCTCCAGTGCGGGGGTCATGCTCCGAGGGCACTGCTCAAGTGGTTTTGATAGTTCAGCAGTTCTGAATTGCTGCCAATCTCGCCTTTCCAAACAGAATCCACTGGCTGACATAGTCCACCTTAGAGTCTCTGTTTGCCCAGATTATCACTGTTAACTTGGCTGGGGCAGTTGACCAATTTGTCCTCCATCATCTGTTGTGGTACCAGGTGTCCTCTGCAGATTCTAACGTGCCATCATATCCTCCATGTGCAACTGGCCATGCTGTCCACTGTTTCATCTAAGCCACTGGGGAGGCACAGGTCTGATGCAAGCATCCCATGGTTAGACCATGGAACCTGCAATTTTCTCCATGGTCAAAGTTCTGAGTCCAGTGGTTTCGTTGGGAGATCCCCAAAGAAACGTCATCTGAGGTGACGCCAGACCTGATTCCAGCACAGTCTGTTGCCCCAATCAGCTAACACGTGCACTGGTGGTTGCAATTGCTGGGTTAGTTCTGTCTCCAGCCCTGTCTTCTACACAAACCAATGGGTGTTGCAGCCCAGCCCGATCCTGCCCACCCATCACATACTTAAGCCAGTGGGAGCCACATTAACCAGTGGGAGCTGCAGCCTAGTTTGGGTGACTCCCAGTTATCCCTACCAGACCAGCCTCCTGCCCTGGTTCCTGTGCTTACCAATATGTACAACAGACTGGTCTAGTCTGTCCCGTATCCCATTCAGTTTTTATACATGTCAAAAGGCAATGAAGCCTAGTTCAACCCAACCAGCCCCACTATCCAGCCAAAACATATGCTGGTGGGTGCCATTCTGTCTAGCCACCCCTGTCCCAGTCCTGGTTCTCATGCTCACCAGTAAGAGTGGCAATTCAGGAAGGAAGGGCCCACCGTTTCCCTACTAGGCCCACTCTCACTCCTGGATTTTGCACTCTCCAGGTGATTCTGCAGTTTAACATGACAAAATTAGCTCCCTGTGCCAGCATCTGCCAGCTGATGCTGTGGCAAAGCCCAACCAACCCTCACCCACTTTGCTTATGAATGCACAGGTATGAACAGTAAACCCAGCCTGACTTTCCCCTGTCCAGCTCACATGAGGCCAACACATGTTGTAGCTCTGCCCAGTCTGGTCTGCTCCCAATCCCAGCTCTCATGCTCACAATGGGAGTTCTGGTCCAGCAGGGGAACCCCATGCAGCCCCATTACTAGCTTCACTTCCTCCGCCGCTGGGTCTCGTGTGCTGGTTGGGTGCTGTGGTCCAGTCGGGCATGGCCTGCTGAAAATGGCATTTGCCAGTGGGTGCTATAGTGTGGCTCCCACTGGTGGGGCCTACAGTCTAGCCCAGCCAGCTGGCCCCCATCCTGGCCCTCATGTGAACTGAGTTGTGTTGTGACCCACCCCAGCCCGACCCACACTCCATTCTGGTGCTCGCATTTGCCGGGGATGATATGAACTGGCCTGGGCTGGCTTGCCCCAAATCTGAGCCAAATGTATGCCAGTGGGTACCAATACCTGGCTTGGTCTTTGCACTTACCTGCAGGGACTGTGTCCCAACAGAGGAGTTCCCCAAGCACCTCCATCAGAACCTCTCCCAGTGCCAGTCTTGGGCCTACTGATGGGTCCTTGGGCCAGCCCTACTTAGTCCACCTTCCATCCTAGCAGGAATAGTGACCTTTCCTGACCTGCCATTATCCATTCCAGTTGTTACTGTTGGGTGCTACAGCCCAGCCAAGCCTGGTCTATAACCAGACACAGCTCACTAATGGCACAGTAGAGACAGAGATCTAGCCCAGGCCCATCCTACACCCATCCTGGATTTCATGAGCTCCAGTGGGTACTGGAGTCCAGCCCAGTCTGGCACACCTCAGACCCAGTCCACACCCATGCTGAGGGAGACTGTAGCCATGTACAGACCAGACCACAGTCCCCACTCTGGCCCTTTGCACTCACCAGTGGGAACCACAACCCAGACAGGGTGTCCTCTTAACTCCTCAGCCAGGCCTGTTCCCACTATAGATCTCATACGTGTCGGTGGCTGCTCTGACCCAGCTTGGCGGAGCCCCCAGCGGTCTCGGCTTTGCCTTTAGATGCTAGGTAATGGAAATTGAAAGCAAATGGTATTGATAGTTTAATGATAAGCTAAATTTGGAGGTGAAGAATGGTGAGCCTTTCTAGTGGTCATTTCACAGGTGTATACCTGCCAAGACCATCTCCCATTTAAGTGGGATTTGCTGTCACACTGCCAGTTGAAATCTAGAGCTACAGACAACACCAAAGCTCTGTGCTGCAGGTTCTTTCTTTATGTGTACACTTGTGAGTGAAGCTTAATGTGTAGGTTATGCACAATAAGAGATGAACAACAATAATAGTGAGATATAGAAACAGCTGGAACAATATAGTATAAAGAAAATTTGTGTGAATGTTTTTCTGAATACATTTTTTTAAGTTTTTTGTTTATTTACTTGAAAGGCATAGTTACAGAGAAGGGGAAAGTCTGAGAGATCCCCCATCTGCTGGCTCACAGCCTGAATGACCACAGCGGCCAGGCCTGGGGCAGACTGGAGCTACAACACTGGTCCTCACTGGGTGCTGGGCCCGAGTGCATTGGCCAGCTTGCTGCTTTCCCAGGTGCACTAGCAGGGGGGTAGATCAGAAACAGAGCAGCCGGGACTTGAACTGCTGTTCTGGTGTCACAGGCAGCAGCTTAAACACTTCCACAACACTAGCCGCTGTTAGAGTATCTTACTACATTGGCTGTAACTGAGACTGAGGCAAGTCAAAACATGGATGAGGGGCGACGCTGCATATTGCTCTAGAACTTGTAAATTAATCTTACATGTTAATAAAAACGATCTCTCTGAGAAAGTTCACATTAAAGATTTAGACGTATGGGTCCAGCACGATAGCCTCGTAGCTAAATCCTCGCCATGCACATGCCGGGATCCCATATGGGCACTGGTTCCTGTCTTGGCTGCCCTGCTTTCCATCCAGTTCCCTGCTTGCGGCCTGGGAAAAGAGTAGGGCATGGCCCAAAGCCTTGGGACCCTCACCATGTGGGAAACCTGAAGGAAGCTCCTGGCTCCTGGCTTCTGGCTTCGGATCGGCTCAGCTGCAGCTGTTGTCGCCACTTGGGAAGTGAACCAGTAGATGGAAGATCTTTGTCTCTCCTCTCTGTAAATCTGCCTTTTGAAGAAATAAATAAAAATCTTTAAAAAAATAAAAAGAAAAGCACTGTGCCAGAATGTATTTTAAACTTGAACGGTTGTACTTTATAAACTGTAGAAACGGGATTTTCTTTTATTGAAGTGTACGTTTTATGGGCTCATTTATCTAATCCTTCTCTCAGTGTTTGCATGGAAGGGGAAGCGGGGCTTGGGGCGGGGGACCTGGCTGGCTGTCACTGTGCCAGTCGGTTGTGAGCGCACGTAAGCATCGATCCCCCAGTCTATCATTACATCCCACTTTCTGGATTATTGTAAGGATGAAATTAAATTATTTATGTAAGATATCGTAACCAGTACAAAGTAAGAAACGGGCAGATCATTAATTCTTTGTCTTTTGTGCCGCCATCTGTACTATGCTGTTGACCAAAGCAAATAAAACCAAATAATAATGTGAGAGACCCAGCAGTTCTGCTGCTGCTTGCACACCAACAGGGATGAGTGTGTGTGTGTGCCAGAACACGCACAGCAGTGTTCCTAGCAGTGTTCTGTGATAGCTAGTGCACTGATGAAGAAATTCTAGCATATTCAGAAATGGAGTCCCATGCAACAAGATGTGTGAACACGGCCCTGCTGCCAATGGAAGTCAGGAATAACTATGGCCTTCCTTCGGCCCCACTTTAACCGTTATTGGGACCAGCCTACACCCACTCGTTTATGCATGGTTATTACTGGGAAGTGTGGAGTGCTTGTAACATTGACCCAGGCCTAAAGTATTTGTTACTTGGCCCTTTACAAATAGCTTGCCTTTGCCTGCTGTAAATGAGGTTCACAGATCAGTGCGTGTGAGCAGTGGCTGCCAGGAGATGGGGACCACCGCTGACTGGCATTTCCTTTGACGATGAAAATGTTCTGGATTTGAGTTCTGTGATGGTCGGAGAGTTGTGAATATAACAAAAATAACAACAAAGGAAACTGACCTGTGCATACCAAAATGGTGAATTTTTTGTGACGTGGGTTATAGTCAGTAAAAAAAGAAGTTGAATGTGAGAAAGCAAACACAAAAGACGCCTACGTACAGGCGAAGGACTCAAAGGTCCTGGCAGTTTGCTGGTGGCTGCCAGAGGCCAGGTGCCCGCAGGAGTCCACCTGGTGGTTGCCTTCTTCAATCGGAGGATCTCTTCTTTGTCTCCCTCATGTGTTGGACTTCAGAGTCCTGGTGCTTAGAAATATTTGGAGGTCAGTGAGCTGGGTGATCCAGAAAACTGTCTTTAAGAATTTCCTCCAGGGCCGGCGCGGTGGCACAAGTGGTTAAAGGTCCTCGCCTTGCACGCCCGGGATCCCATGTGGGCGCCGGTTCTAGCCCGGCAGCCCCGCTTCCCATCCAGCTCCCTGCCTGTGGCCCGGGAAAGCAGCTGAGGACGGCCCAAAGCTTTGGGACCCTGCACCCGCGTGGGAGACCCGGAGGAGGCTCCTGGCTTCGGACCAGCATAGCATCGGCCCGTTGCACTCACTTGGGGAGTGAATCATCAGACGGAAGATCTTCCTCTCTGTCTCTCCTCTCTGTATATCTGCCTTTCCAATAAAAAAATAAATAAATAAAAATAAATCTTAAAAAAAAGAAGAATAATTTCCCCCAGTACTTCACTAACTCAGGGAGAACTGGGAGATTGGCTTAAATAAGATACAGCGGGAGTTCTGCCGTCGTGTAACGTGTTCACTGGCCTCAGAGTAGCTTTCCTCTCTGTAGCTTCAGGCAGGTGAAGTCTGGGCCAAAGTCCCTCATCGCTTTTCTTTTTCTTGGCCAGGTGTACGTGACCGCTGAGAGTCGCTTTAGCACCCTGGCCGAGCTTGTTCACCATCACTCCACAGTGGCTGACGGGCTGGTGACAACCCTGCACTACCCTGCACCCAAGTGTAATAAGCCCACGGTCTATGGGGTGTCCCCCATCCATGACAAATGGGAAATGGAACGGACAGATATCACCATGAAGCACAAGCTTGGGGGCGGTCAGTACGGAGAGGTTTACGTCGGCGTGTGGAAGAGATACAGCCTTACAGTTGCCGTGAAAACGCTCAAGGTGGGTTGCCCAGAATTGCAGTTTCCAGGTAGCCTGCTCTTCTGGGCCAAATCCCTTGGAAATACTGCTGTGCCCTTTAACTTTGAAACACTTTCCACCCACTGATCGGCAAGCGTTTTAGCAAATTGCAGTGATTAACTCCAGTGTCACTGCTGACATTGCAAAGGCAGATTATTAACTGCAAGACAGTGAAAGCCATGCGTGAGCAAAATGTTTCTGGAACCTGTTAGTGCAGACCTTGTAGGAGGTTAGAGGCAAATTAGAATTTCCAAAAACTCCCTGGCTGCTGGCTTCCTGAGGACACCCTGGGCAGCGCAGAGCTCTTTAGCCCTTGTCTGAACCATGGGGCTCACTCTTTATTCTGTCCTTACTTCTCCCCTCTCCATGTGTTGGGTCACTTCTTGTCCGTACTGTTTCCAGAAACCATTTTTCCTGATCCCACGCTCTCTCCTTTGGGTCTGCTGAAGCAAAATTACAGGGTTGCCAGCTCCAGGCCAGCACGCAGAAGGGCTTTCCTCCTGCTGTGAGCTTGTTAAGTATAAGCTGAGTGCTGAAGATGCATCTCTCCCTGAGAAGCTCATCATCTGATCGGGACGGTGGGCGCTGAACAGTGGAGTGTGGTCTGTGAACTGGTTTCAAGGCCGAGACCCCCGAGGAGTGAGCTGCCAGAGGATGGAAGATCCAGCCCGAGCGCCCCTGGCCTGTGTTGGTTGCTGATAGGACATGGTTGCTGAATGCTACTCACCCTTGTAATTTCTACTGAAGTTTGTAACGTGTTCAAGGATGTCTTGAGACTTCCATAGAGCACATTGCACTGTGATAAAGCCATGCCGAAGTATTTAAAAGACATTCCCTTCTACTTTCAAAATTGAAGTGTTAGAGTTGTAAGTTGACTAAACAATTAAGAGGGGCTTGTCCCTTTTTTTTCTCCGCACCTTTCTGTTTCCCAGGAAGATACCATGGAAGTGGAGGAGTTCCTAAAAGAAGCTGCAGTTATGAAGGAAATCAAGCATCCGAATCTGGTACAGCTGTTAGGTGAGGAAGTGTGCGTGAACCCGATTTCTCTGATGCTGCCCCCCAGCCCCGCCGCCGTTCCTTATCAGGTCCTGCTTTAGCGGCCTGATCTTGACTTCATTACAGGAAACTGTTGAGCTGGTGGGCATTGCTCCAGATTCCGACTCCGGAGCTTTTAGAATGGTGCCAGACTAACAGCTGTCATTAAATATTTTCACAACATCAAGAAATTCTAAACAAGCAAAATAAATAATTGAAAAGCAGTTAAAGCTTGTAACCAAACCCCTGGTCCTCTGGCGGCAGGAAGTGCTTGGATGCCGTAGATTGGCTCTACACCCGTGCAGACTGCAAAGAAACCTTTGACTAAAAGCTTTTCCCTTTTAAAAATAGGGCTGGTTTCTTTGGATGCACAAATTTGTCCAAATAAGGAATTTGCTATCAGTGAAATCCTTGAACATGGCAAACGTTAAGGTCTTTTTACAAAGCATTGTTAGAGGTGGAGTTCACAGTCTCCAGGTTGTGTGGCGGAGAATCCAAGCATGGAAAGAACTAGCTTTGGTTTCTGGGAATGCATGTGGTGCCATGGCTGTGCCTGTCCCAGAGTACCTGGGCCTAGGTCCTTGCTGCACTTCTGGTTTGGTCTCCGTCCTGCTGTGCATTCGGGGGAGTGGGGGGGCAGTGGGTGATGGCCCAAGGACTTGGTACCTGCCACCTCCGTGGGAGGTGCTGACTTGAGTCCTTAGTCCCTAAGGCCTCAGCCTTGCCCAGTGGGCATTTAGGGGTGGAGGCGGGAAGGGCAAACCAACAAATGGAAAATCTCCCTGTCTGCTTTTCAAATCGAAGTTATTTAATTATAATCTTCTTGGCCCTGTATGGAATTAATGCGAGTAAATCTGCTCAAATAGGCAGATACTCATAGCCATATGATTTCTAGAAAACAGTGACACAAGGACTCCCTTTTCAACTTTTCTTCCTTCTCCCTTGCTCTTTTCTCCCCTCAAAGGGGAAAGACACAGTGACACAGAGATCTGTCCGTAGGTGCCCTTCTCCAGTGTCTGCAGTAGCTGGGGCTGAGCCAGGGACTTGGTCAGGGACTCAGCCAGGGACTCGGTCAGGGACTCAGCCAGGGACTCAGCCAGGGACCTTCGTACTGGGCCTGTCGCCTGCTGCAGCCCAGCGTGCACCTCAGCAGAACCCTGACATCTGCAGCAGAGCCGGACTGGCACCTTGGCACTCCGGCACGGAAGCGGCCGTCCCAGGAGGTGTCTCACCTGCCGGCTCGGGTGCCTGCCTCTCAACCAGCTTCCTGATTGCTTGCTGAGAAGGGGGAAAGATTACAACCAAACTAGTTCGGAGAGCTATCAAATGCATTGTTTGAATATGTACTAGTAAGAACAAAAAAGCTCTAATCTTCAAATTGCAGGTGTGTGTACTTTGGAACCCCCCTTTTACATTGTGACTGAATACATGCCGTATGGGAATTTGCTTGATTATCTCCGAGAATGCAACCGCGAGGAGGTGACTGCAGTCGTCCTGCTTTACATGGCCACTCAGATCTCGTCTGCCATGGAGTATCTAGAGAAGAAGAACTTCATCCACAGGTGCGTCAGCCTGGGCACTGCTGGGACTAAGCGTGAAGTCATCCTGCTTGACACAGAGATGAAGGAGCAGAGTGAGACCCTTCCCAGGCTTTCCCATGAACGAAGGAAGTAGTTACAGCTTTCACATAATGAAGTAATGATATCGTGTCTAACCTGTAATCCCTCCACCCTCTGATCAAGTGCCAGGAGCCTTTGTTACTGCCAAAACTGGAAAGGTTTCTCTTGCTCAGCACTGTCCAAATGCTCCCTCTAGTGGCTGAATTTTTTTTTAAGATTTATTTTTATTATTTTTTTTATTGGAAAGGCAGATATACAGAGAGGAGAGACAGAGAGGAAGATCTTTCGTCTGATGATTTACTCCCCAAGTGAGCGCAACGGCCGATACTATGCTGATCCGAAGCCAGGAGCCTCTTCCGGGTCTCCCACGCGGGTGCAGGGTCCCAAAGCTTTGGGCCGTCCTCGACTGCTTTCCCGGGCCACAGGCAGGGGGCTGGAAGGGAAGCGGGGCTGCCGGGATTAGAACCGGTGCCCATATGGGATCCCGGGCGTGCAAGGCGAGGACCTTAACCACTTGTGCCACCGCGCCGGGCCCCTAGTGGCTGAATTTTTAAAGTAGTTTTCTGTCTTGGCAAAGAACTGAACAGCCCTAGGGAAAAGCCACCGATAGCTCCACTCTGAAATCTACCCCAGCTGCTTACAGATAGGAAGCCATTTTGCAAAGATCCTTAACTTCCTCTATGCTAGGAGTGATGTGTCATTAGCGACTTTTTGCCATGGTAGATTGTCATAGAATGCCATCATGCTTGTTAGCACGCACTTACCAGTGCTGCTTGTAGCACGAAAAAATACAGCATCTGTGGCCATTTTCTCACCATCTGCATGGAGTCATGTTAGGCTTCTCTATCTCACAGAGATCTTGCAGCTCGCAACTGCCTAGTGGGAGAAAACCACGTGGTGAAAGTGGCTGACTTTGGCTTAAGCAGACTGATGACAGGAGACACCTATACTGCTCATGCGGGGGCCAAATTCCCCATTAAGTGGACGGCACCGGAGAGTCTTGCCTACAATACCTTCTCCATTAAGTCTGACGTGTGGGGTAAGGTTGGAACACTCTTTCCCTGCGTGTATCACCTTGGTCCCTTCAGGTCTCTTTCACGTGACATTTAGTGGGCTCTGCTTTGACCTTGACCCTTCTTGAATCACTCAGCAAGCACTTCTGCGTCTCTCCTAGCTGCTAGGGACTGGACACAGAAGTAAGTTTGAAGAGCAAGGTTGACAACGAAGAAGTCTGTGTCCGCAGAGCGCGCAGTGTGCTGCAGAAGCTGCAGTCACGCTGGAAGCAGCAGTCAAGGCCAGGCAGTCCCCTGCGGGCTGCGGCGTCAGCCGGTGTCGCAAACCACTCGGTTAGATGCCTGCTCCTTTGTGGAGTATGAATGAACCTCTTCACTTCAGTCCTCTGATTAGCTGACTTTAAAACCATGAAAAGTATTAGGCAGTTCAAAGACAGTTCTAATGGTTGGATACTACCCCCCTTCCATTTGTTTAAAAAAAAGTAAGATTTATTTGTTTTTGTTGGGAAGGCATATTTTACAGAGAGGAGGGGAGAAAGATTTCCTATCTGCTGTTTCACTCCCCAAATGGCTGCAACAGCCAGAGCTGAGCCATCCCCAAACCAGGAACCAGGAGCTTCTTCTGGATCTGCCACGTGGGCACAGAGTCCCAAAGCTTTGGGCTGTCCTTCACTGCTTCCCCAGGTCATTAGCAGGGAGTTGGAGTGGAAGTGAAACAGCTGGGAATCAAACTGATGCTGATATGAGATGCTGGTGCTTGCAGGTGGAGGATTAGTCAATGTAGCTATCGATGCCAGCTCCTGCCCTTCACCTTTTTTTTTTTAATGACTTATTTCATTATTTTTATTGGAAAGGTTGATTTAGAGAGAGAAGGGGAAACAGATGTTCCATCTGCTGTTTCACTCCCCAACTGGCCGCAACAGCCAGAGCTGAGCTGACCCAAAGCCAGGAGCCAGGAGTTTCTTCTCGGTCTCCCACACGGGTTCAGGGTCCCAAGGCTTTGGGCCGTCCTTGACTGCTTTCCCAGGCCACAAGCAGGGAGCTGATGGGAAGTGGAACAGCCAGGACACAAACCGGTGCTCATATGGGATCCTGGAGTGTTCAAGGCAAGGATTTCTTACATGGTTATAGTTTGCTGTATCTCATTGGAGTAAAACTAGTTAAATAAAAATTTGGAGGTTGGTATACTTTTAAAAGCTGTGCTTATTTGATAGGCAGAGACAGAGAGAGAGGTGAGGAGAGCTCCGTAGTGCCTGGGTGCTGGCCAGTCTGGAGCCACGAGTCAGAGCTCGGTCCTGCTCTCATGTGGATGGCCTGCTGCTTTCCCAGGCACATTAGGCGGGAGCTGAATCAGAAGTGGAGCACTGGGGACACCACTGTCATAGGTGGCAATTCACTGATGCACTACACAACCAGTCCAAAGTGCATATTTCAAAGAAAACTGCCTTGAGAATTGCCTGCAGTGTTCCTGGGGCAGGTATCTTAGAGGACAGGAAAAATCATGTTAAGAACAGGACGTGGTAATGTTATTACTAGGGGTAAATGTAACCCAGAATTTAACAGAGAAGTTAGCTAGTCTTATAAAGAAGTAATACGTAGTGCTTTTTGTAATCCTTGTGCAGCTTTTGGAGTACTGTTATGGGAAATTGCTACATACGGGATGTCACCCTATCCGGGTATTGACCTGTCGCAAGTCTATGATCTGCTGGAGAAAGGGTATCGGATGGAACAACCAGAGGGATGCCCGCCCAAAGTGTATGAACTAATGAGAGCGTGTGAGTATTGTCTATAACTTTGAAAGTTTACGGCAGCAATTCAGAGTGCTTAACAAATTGGAAACACCTCTCTGGAGTATTGTTAGGTTGAATCCAGCCCTGTGCTGCTTGGAAAGTTGGTCTCTTGTTTTCCTGTTATCATTGTGACTTACTGGAATCCTAAGAACCTGTCGCTTATGACCTGAGTATTGACCCAGTTTAAAAAAAAAAAACACTTTAAAGAAATTGGGTTTAGAGATCACAATAGGGGAGGGCTGCTTGCAGCTAGATGAGATAGCTAAAGACTGACCAGTGTACCAGGTTGGCTTGGGGATGAGTAAACACCAGCGCCTGCTTCAAGATGCGGGGATAGAGGCGAGTCATGAGTCACAGTTGAGTTTGTCAGCCCTTCCTTAGGTGATTTTCTCATTCACCATTGGTGTTCTCTCTTACCCTTTGCACATACGAACTTCAACTTCCTTTTTTCTGATACGCTAGTCTATTTCTGAGTGTAGAGTTAAGTATCTGGTATAATTAGACTGAGTTTCAAAGACAAGTTTTACTGCTTCTGTTTTCCCCACCTGCCCTCATCCTCTTAGTGGGGAATAGGACCCGAGGCCCACCTAGCGGTGGGTTCATCACCGAGCCGGGAGTGGAGAAGCAGCTGTTATCCCCGTCACAGTGAACAGGCTGAGGCAGAGCACCCCAGGCACGGGCTGCCTGACCTTCTGGGGGCTCTTAATGTTCCTTTTCTCTTCCGTAGGCTGGAAATGGAGCCCTGCGGACAGGCCTTCTTTTGCCGAAACACATCAAGCTTTTGAAACCATGTTCCATGACTCGAGCATCTCTGAAGGTGAGAGACTGGTGACTTTGGTGTTTGTAGGTGACTAGTTTCAGGTGTCGCTAGTGATGACGATGGGAATAATACTTTAGAAGTCATCGACTTTTGTGGCTTGTGACTGTCTCAAGATACTAAGTTAACTTTTGGCCTTTATTGTTCCTGTATTGCTTTTTATAGTGCGTCTTTCTCAGTATACTTACTATCAAAAATTGTTTTAAGTAGAAAATGATTTTGTTTCTTCATCAAGTTAATAAACTTGTAGTCCTTTTAAGCATAAACACTTATAACTTTTTGAATGCGTTAGAGGCTAGATTTTAATATTGAAAAATTAAGAACAACTTAAATATCTAGAAGACTATTAATTATTACATCTGTATAATTGAATGTTCGATTGATATGCTGTGGAGGTGTTTGGCACGACAGTTGAGGTCCTGCCTCCAGTATAGTGTGCCTGGGTTGTTCCAGCTCTGCTTCCAGTCCAGCTGCTCACACAGCCTGGCAGGTAGAAGAGGGTGACTCGAGGACTTGGGATCCTGCCACCCACCAGGGAGGCCCAGCTGGAGTTGACAGCTCCTGGGCTCAGTCTGACCCAGCCTCAGTTTTATGACATGTTGGGGAAATGGATCAGCAGATGGAAGATGGAGAGATGCAGCTCTCTTGTCTGTGTGACTCAAATAGCGTGGAAAATGAATAATAATTTTAAAAAATTAAGCAAACCTCAGTTGAACCACAGTCTGTACCTAGACGTCTCTGGCTCATCCCCCCATGGATCTTTGAGCTCGTCTCTTTGTTACCGTATATTGCCACTTCTTCCAGGTGCTGTTCCTGGCAGATGAGTCACACTTCTTTTCTTCTTCCCCTTCTCTAAATTGCACAATGCGTGACACCCTGTTTCTTGTCCTTCATTGTCTTCCAAGTGAGCCTCCCACCTGTCTAAGCCCTAGCTGCTCAGTGAGCCAGTAGGTGGGAAATCACTCTTACTTATTAAGATAGAAAGACGACAAAACTGGTTCTCAAATTTTGTATTTGTTTTTCAGAGTTTTCTTTTCTTCCTAATTGAACAGATTTGACCACTTGAATTCAAGAGAAAATACAAAGAGAGGAAATCAGGCGAGTTGACTTGTCTGATTGCTCTAGTGGTTTTTTTTTTTTAAGATTTATTTCATTTTTATTGGAAAGGCAGATGTACAGAGAGAAGGAGATGTGAAGAGAGAGAGGTTGTCCATCCACTGGTTCACTTCCCAGGTGGCTACAATGGCCACAGCTGAGCCGGTCTGAAGCCAGGAGCTTCCTCCAGGTCTCCCATGTGGGTGCAGGGTCCCAAGACTTTGGGCCGTCCTCCACTTCTTTCCCAGGCCACAAGCAGGGAGCTGGATGGAAAGTGGCAGCAGCCAGGATATGAACCAGCACTCATATGATATCCTGGTGCTTGCAAGACAAGGATTTAGCCATTGAAGCTCTGTACCATGTCTATCAGTTCAGAAGGTTTTTTGTTTGTTTGTTTTGAAGATTTTTATTTATTTTAAAAATTTTGTTGGAAAGTCAGATATATAAAGAAAAGGAGAGACAAGAAGATCTTCCATCTATTGAATCACACACCCCAAATGGCGGCAATGGCCAGAGCTGCGCCATTCCAAAGCCAGGAGCCTCTTCCAGGTCTTCCATGTGGGTACGGGCTCCCGAGGCTTTGACCCGTCCTCCATTGCTTTCCCAGGCCACAGGCAGGGAGCTTAATGGGAAACAGGGCTACCAGGATTAGAACCCGGTACCTATATAAGGTCCTGGCACGCGCAAGATGAGGACTTCTGCTGGTAGTCTACCATGCCAGGCCCAATTCAGAAGTTTTTTTGTTTTTGTTTTTTTAATTTTGTAACAGTTTAGTAGGCACTGGGGTCTCTCTTCCCCTTCTTGAAGTTCCCTCCCCTCCCCCGCTGCACTCCCCTCCAGTCTTGCAATGGGTGTCATTTGTGCATTTTCACAAGTCCATCATGCTGCCACTGAGGCATCTTGCAACAGGGCAGGAGATTGTCAGCCATTTCGCTGCGAGTCCACCTTGCACTGCATCCATGGAGACAAACTTCTATTTCCACCTATGAACGTGTTCATTTCTGCTACGCTTCCATTGTGCATCCGCTGAAGTACAGTCCACCATGAGAAGAACCTTCATCCACATGAAGTTAAGGAACATGTAGCAAAGGTAGCAGTGTGACACTAGGGTGGGGAAAGACTGTCCAGCATCTTCATGTAGGAATAAATGCCATCATGTGTCCCGTGTGGCACTAATGAAAGTGCAGTAAGGACTACACCATCATTACTTACAGGCAGTAGCAATACAGTGTTAAAGGGACATTGACGATCTTGGGTGATGACAAGCAGTCTCTTATGGATGATTGATTAATGGATTGCATTATAAGATCTTATTATGAAAGATACAAATAGCTAGGAAGTGCATAACGTAAAATTTGCAGGTAAATCCTTAGATTTGACATCATAATATATTAGAGCAAACATATGACATCTGACCTTTTGGGGTTGGCTCATATCCCTTAGCTTAATGGTCTCCAGATTTGGGCCATTTGGCCACAAAGTATTGTGCTTCATTTTTTTTTTTTTTTTGATAGCTGAATAGTATTCCCTGGAGTAGATGAACCACAGTTTCTTTATTCAGTCCTCTGTTAATGAGCATTTAGATTGCTTCCATGTTTTTGCGATTATTGATTGTGCTGCAATGAACACAGGGTCGCACATTGCTTTCGCATGTAACAAGTCTTTTGGATATGTTCCTAGGAGTAGTATTCTGGGTCATATGGTAGGTAGATTTTCAGTTGCCTAAGTATTCTCCATACTGACTTCCATAGTGGTTGAACCAGTCTGCAGTCCCGCCAGCAGTGGAGTAATGGTTCCTTTTTCCCCACAACCTCACCAGCAGGTGTTGTTGGTAGTTTCCTGTATTTGGGACATTCTTACTGGAGTTAAGTGGAACCTCAGTGTTGTTTTTATTTGAATTTCCCTTATTGCCATGGAGCGTGAGCGTTTTTTCATATGCCTGTTAGCCATTTGGATTTGTTCCTTTCAAAAGTATCTGCCCATTTCCCTTGCCGATTTTCTGACTGGTTTATTTGTTTTGTTGTTATGGTTGTTCTGGAGTTTTTTTTGTATATTGTGGAAATTAGCCCCTTGTCTTCTGTATAGTGTGCAAAGATTTTTTTCCCACTCTGTTGGTGCTTTTTTACTTTGTTGATTGCTTCATTTGCTGTGCAGAAGCTTCTTAGTTTGATGTAGTCCCATTTGTTTATTTTGGTCTTGACTTTCTTTGCATTTGATGATTTTTCTAGGAAGTCAGTGCCTACACCTATATCTTGCAAAGTATTTCCAACTTTTTCTTCCAAAAGTTTGGTGAAAGGTGTGGATCTTGTTTCTTATTTCTGCAGGCTGTTAACCAGTTGTCCCAACAGCATTTGTTGAATAGACCAGGCTTTTTCCCTGTTTTCTGTTTTCTTGTCAAAGATTAGTTGGCTGTGGCCCAGCACTGTGGCCTAGTGGCTAAAGTCTTCACCTTGAATGCGCTGGGATCCCAAATGGTCACCAGTTCTAATCCTGGCAGTGCCGCTTCCCATCCAGTTTCCTGCTTATGACCTGGGAAAGCAGTTGAGGACAGCTCAAAGCCTGGGACCCTCCAGGAGTTTCAGACAGCTGTCCCAGCAGCTCTCTGCTTTTTGCTCTCTGCCACTAGTTGAATCCATCATCAGTTTGAAGAAATGGTGTGAGATGTAGTTGCCAACATCTGGGAGGTTTAGTCTTCAGAGCTTGTAACCTGACAATACAGACAATGTCTGCCCTGGCTCTCGGAGCAAATTAGTTATCCAGAAAATTGTAAAAGAATTATAAAATTTTACAGTTGTTGTTGCCTTCTTTGCTTTTGTTCAGCAATGAATAACAAAGCCACAACACCATTGCCAAGTTTTACTCATCCAAATGTTACTAATGGGATGAACACTTTTTTATGAGCCTAATTTACTTCATTTGCATGAAATGGAATCTCATTTGTTCTCATTTATAGCACAATGTGCAGCCAAAAGTTAGAATATTCATTCCTCTCTGTTTATCCACTTGGTTCAACATCTGAACAGACACTCAGTAAATGAGAACATACTGATGAGCAATAACCATAGCCAACAGCACTTATCACAGAGAATTCCAAAATAAAACCACGTGAGATACCTAGACATGCCTACAAGAATGGTTAAGATTAAATTCAAGTGAATAAGTTGATGCTGGCAAGCAAGCAGAGGAGGCAGAAATTATAAACACTGCTGCTAGAAAAAGTATAAATCGGTAGTCACTTTTTTTTAAGATTTGTTTATTTTTATTACAAAGATACAGAGAGGAGGAGAGACAGAGAGGAAGATCTTCCGTCCAATGATTCACTCCCCAAGTGAGCGCAACGGTTGGTGCTATGCTAATCCAAAGCCAGGAGCCAGGAACTTCTTTCTGGGTCTCCCACACGGTTGCAGGGTACCAAGGCCCTGGGCCATCCTCGACTGCTTTCCCAGGCCACAAGCAGGGAGCTGGATGGGAAGTGGAGCTGCTGGGATTAGAACAGGTGCCCATATGGGATCCCGGCGCATTCAAGGTGAGGACTTTAGCCACTAGGCCACAGCGCTGGGCCTGGTACAGTCACTCTAAAGCTGCACATGCATGGACCCAGCAGTTTCTCTGAGCCTGTGCCAAGCAGATATGCATTCCATTGTGAGACAGAGGATCCGTAGCTGGATATTCCCAGCAGCAGTCCTTATTAGCTGAAAACTAGAAACAAGTGAATGTTGCTGTGTTAGCACTTTGGAAGCTGTACTAGCACGAGAAAGAACCTCTCCACGTTCAAGAGCACAGACTTTATCTGCAGACCTTACGTTGAGAAGCAGCTGGCATGGGAACCTCGTGTGTGACTGTGTAAGTGTGTGTTACACACTTCTGCTTTCTGCTGTTCAGGTCTTGCTTGGGTCTGTGCCTGCCTGAAGTGCGGACCCCTTTCTCCTTATGAGGTTGCGTCATTCTCAGTTCCTTGGTCTTTCTCACAGAGGTAGCTGAGGAGCTTGGGCGAGCTGCCTCCTCGTCATCGGTGGTTCCTTACCTGCCCCGCTTGCCCATCCTTCCTTCCAAGACGCGGACGCTGAAGAAACAGTTGGAGAACAAGGAGAATATCGAAGGGCTACCAGATGCCACCGAGAATCCTGCTTGCAACTCGGCCCCAGGTAAGGGCTGTGTGCAGGCAGAGTCAGGGTAGCAGCTGACTTGTGTAAAGCAGCATAGGGTAAGATGCTCTTCTGCCTGTTTTCATACCTGCCCTTTCTGACCGCTCTCGTCCTGGGTTCGGCATTGCTAGCACTAGTAGTCCTAACCTGTCTGCCCGACCTGCGACTCTGTCTCCTACTCCGTGCCCTTTGCTCCCAGTTCCCAGCGTTACCCTCCATCCAGTTCTGGCAAAAGCTTATTCATTGGGTTTGACGGATGAGGCCAGGTTGAGCACAGAGCAGGGTATTTGTCCCTAGTTATAACCACATTGCATTTGAAACCACTCATCACTGTAAAGTGATTGTGCATTACTAATCTCCCGTGCACCCAAACAACACTTGGCACTTCATTATTGCTGGCGAAACTTAGGACTGACCCTTGGGAACTGTAGTGGATCTACTGCTTGTCTGCTTGTTATTGATTGGCTGTTTCTGACCAGGGTTCATTCGAAGTGCACAGGCATCCAGCGGGTCCCCGGCACTGCCTCGAAAGCACAGAGACAAGTCACCCAGCAGCCTCTTGGAAGATGCCAAAGAGACGTGTTTCACTCGGGACAGGAAGGGGGGGTTCTTCAGCTCCTTCATGAGGAAGAGAAGTGCCCCGACACCCCCAAAACGCAGCAGCTCCTTCCGAGAAATGGAGAATCAGCCCCAAAAGAAATACGAACTCGCGGGTAACTTCTCATCTGTTGCTTCCCCACAGCATGCTGATGGGTTGTCTTTCGCTCCTGCCCAGCAAGAGGCAAGCCTGGTGCCACCCAAGTGCTACGGGGGGAGCTTTGCACAGAGGAACCTCTGTAATGATGACAGTGCGGGCAGTGGCACTGCTGGGGGCGGGTGGTCTGGCATCACGGGCTTCTTTACGCCACGTTTAATCAAAAAGACACTGGGCTTACGAGCAGGTAAACCCACAGCCAGTGATGACACTTCCAAGCCTTTTCCAAGGTCAAACTCTACATCTTCCATGTCTTCAGGGCTTCCAGAGCAGGATAGGATGGCAATGACCCTTCCCAGGAACTGCCAGAGGACCAGACTCCAGCTGGAAAGGACAGTGTCTACCTCTTCCCAGCCAGAAGAGAATGTGGGCAGGGCCAGTGACATGCTCCCCAAAAAGTCAGAGGAAGGGCCTGCAGCGCCCAGGGAGAGACCAAAAGCCAAGCTCCTGCCCCGGGGAGCCACAGCGCTTCCTCTCCGGGCCCCCTCGGGCGACCCAGCCATTGCCGAGAAGGACTCTGCGGGGCTGGGGGCAGCTGGAGTGGCAGCCGCTCCCAAGGGCAAGGAGAGGAATGGTGGGGCCCGCCTTGGGATGGCTGGAGTCCCAGATGACGGAGAGCAGCCGGGCTGGTCTTCCCCAGCCAAGGTGGCATCAGTCTTCCCAACCACTCACAACCACAAAGTGCCAGTCCTTATCTCTCCCACTCTGAAACACACTCCGGCTGACGTGCAGCTCATCGGCACGGACTCTCAGGGGAACAAGTTCAAGCTCTTATCCGAGCATCAGGTCACGTCCTCTGGGGACAAGGACCGGCCCCGACGGGTAAAACCAAAGTGTGCCCCGCCCCCTCCACCAGTGATGAGACTACTGCAGCATCCGTCCCCAGGCTCAGATCCTGCGGAAGAGCCGTCCGCCCCAAGCGCAGGTCAGCCCACACCAGAAACCCAGGAAGGAGGAAAAAAGGCAGCTCCAGGGCCGGTGCCCATCAGTGGGAAAGTTGGGAGGCCAGCTGTGCCTCCACCTCAAGTGCCTCCACCCACGTCTTCCATCTCACCAGCCACTCTGGCTAATGGCACAGCAGGTACGAAAGTGGCTCTGAGGAAAACCAAGCAGGCGGCTGAGAAGATCTCAGCAGACAAAATCAGCAAAGAGGCCCTGCTGGAGTGTGCTGACCTACTGTCCAGTGCGATCACAGAGCCTGTGCCCAACAGCCAGCTGGTGGACACTGGGCACCAGCTGCTCGACTACTGCTCAGGCTACGTGGACTGCATCCCTCAAACCCGCAACAAGTTTGCCTTCCGAGAGGCCGTGAGCAAACTGGAACTGAGCCTGCAGGAGCTGCAGGTGTCTTCAGCAGCTGCTGGCGTGGCCGGGGCAAACCCCGTCCTTAATAACTTGTTGTCGTGTGTGCAGGAGATCAGCGATGTGGTGCAGAGGTAGCCACTGCCAGCCTGCTGGGCGAGTGCACACATTTCTGCGGGGAGAGGGAAAGGGACTTGTTTTCCTGTGTTCTTGTTTCCAAGATACGAAAGACTGATGCTTGAGTGTGCTCATGTGAAGTCCCTCAGCTCCCCGAGCTCTCACGTTTACAGGTTCATCTCACTAGTCACGCCAGGCAAACCACCCAAGTGTAGGAGAGGTGGATGAGATGGGGGCAAGGCAGTGGTGGAAGGAGTCAGCTGTGGCACGTGTGTGTCCTACGGAAGGGAAGGGAGAAAAGGCCACCGGCTCTCTGGAGGTGGGAGGCGCTGGCCAGCGCTGCTCTCCACAGGGCGGCAGGGCCGGGCCGGGCCAGGCCAGAAGACTGGCTGGAGGAATTGGGTGGAGCACAAGGCAGGGCAGGTGAGAATGCACCGGGAGCAGCTTAGGTCAAGGTTACTGGAAGCGTCTGTTAACCTCGCTCCCATGAGGCTGCTGCTGTAGCGAGCCCTGTAGCTGGCGCTGTTAGTGTATAAAGCCAGAGAGTCGGTCTGGTCTCTGCTCCTGGGCTGGCTGTCACAGGTATATTGGTTGGTGCAGGAACCAGGGAGATTGAAATTGCCTCCTAAAATCTTACACTGTTTAGCAGGAGTCACTTTCCCATTTGAGTGTTGTTTTCTCAGTGTACCGGGACCGACTTTTTTTTCTTCTTTTTGAGTATTGGTGGCCGTTTAAACATATTGCTGGGCGAGCCATCTTTATTCCTGGCAGCATTGAGGGTATTAATCAGCATTGATTGTGAAAACAGTGGTCCCCACAGGTTCTGGGGGAACCTGGGTGCTGACACACCCAAGCAGCTGTCTCATTGCTTGTGCACTAAAATGCCAGCGGGGTGGTCTCTTAGGAACCCAGTGGCCAGGCCCGGAGGCCTGTGGCTGAGAGAAGCTGGTGCGGGCCCAGTGGCTGTCTCTCTGTTCCTTCCCCCTCTAGTCCAGCTTACCCACAACTCGGCGAAGTGGCGGGGGGCGTGCAGGCATCCTAGCTCTGGGGATTTGAAATGAATGACTCCCAGTTTAATATCTCCCACAAGTTTTTCTCCCCTCACATAATCCTGCCCCCTCACAATCAGTGTGCTTGTTTGTACAGATCATATGGGGAATATTGTTAATTTATTTTGTCATTGCACCTCTATTTTAAGAATGTGTGATTGAAGGAATGCATCAGGAAGCCTCAGGTGGACACTCAAAGATGTTTTGTCCTTGAAAAAAAAAATAGCTCTTTTCCTTCCCTGCTCGGTTAGGATGCCTGGTTGTCTGGAATTTGGTGGGTGTGGTGTTTTGGTGTTGGCAGTGTCAGGTGCAATCCGGGTTATTACTTCCGTTTTAAAACCTTGGTGAGCACTTCCCTCCCCGCTTGCCAAGGAGAATCCAACACATGAAACTTTTTTCCTCCCAAGCAAAGATTAGTTTAAAAAGATGGGAATTCGCAATTGAGCAGGGAGTTTTCTACCTGAGTCTGTCTTCTGTCCACTGTTGAGCCACAGTTCCATTTCAGTGTAACAGAATGAGCTATTTGCAAACAGGTGTGAGGCCATCCCTTGGAGCCCCTCTGGACAGCTCTTCAGGGCAGTGTTATATGGAATGGGCAGGCTTTCTCTCTCTCTCTCTCTCTCTCTCTCTCTCTCTCTCTCTCTCTTTTTCATTCTCTGCTGAGTAGCAGGTACTAATAAAACTTGTAACAGCGAAGAGTATTTATACTGATTGAGTTTAGAATACCAAGGGGGAAAATGTTTCATTTGGATAGAGTTTAGCATCTTTGAGGAGGAAATACAGTTTTGGTTAGAAAGGAAGGAAGCTTTGATTTTTTTTTTTTCCTCCTTGCTTCTCCAGAGGAGGCCCGGGTTAAGAGAAGGACTTGAGGGGCAGTAGCGACAGGTGTTGGGGGCGCCTGTCAGTGTGTCACCTTGAGCTGCAGTGCAGGCACCTGCCCACCAGGTGGATCTCCTTGTCGTGGCTCCAAGAGAACTTGGATGTCCCACCTTCTTCCTTGTCACTCCCCCGCATCATACACATCCATAAACTTGAACTCCATTTTAGCAGTTATCCTTTCAAGGGAGGGGAGGGAAGGCTGAAACTTTAGAATATGATTATGCTGCTTTTTCAATTTATCCCCATCATTGTGGGATATAAGTTAAGGGATTATAGTTGTTTGTCAGGGGATTTTTTTTTTTTTTTAAATCAAGAGCTCTGTTTGAGAGTTCTGAAAACAAGCCTTGGAGAAACACTACTGAGTGTATTTAAGCTCCCTGGTTTTCTCACCACAGACCAAGGGTGGGAGCGGGGACTGTGTCTTACTCAGGGCAGCACCTCGCTCTGTCTGCCTGTAGTGGGTGCTCCAGAAACTCAGAAGCCGACTTGGTTTTCCCCAACACTTCCACGAGCAGCACGGACTGCTGTAGCACTCTCGATCCGCATGACACTTGAGCTGTGACTGCAGGGGTTGAGGACCCGGGGTTAAAGTGGCACTGTCGACTCACCACGCATGTGTCGTGGAGGTTTTTCCTTTTTCTACTTGAAAAAGACCAACCTTAAAACCTTGCATCAATGAAAAGGCTTGAGTCCCAAGCAGAGACCATTGCTTCTAGACACTAAAAATGTAATTTAATTTTATCTAGCCTAAGAGCAGACAGCAAGGGAGAGTCCCTTGTGCAGGGAGCTGGTGCTGTCAGAACGTGGTGGGATGCGGCTGTGCGCGTGCTGTGTGGCTGCCGCGGCTCCACTCCCTTCACATACAGGAAAATGGCTTCACTCTGCATTTTCGCCTTTAGACTGGAGCGTTTTGTGTTGAACACATCTTGATTGTACTTTTAAAGATTTTTTTTTCTTAAGATGCTCTGTGTAAAACTGAAATGCATGTAATCTTTCTGGAGACCTTGATCATAATTTTCAGAGTTTTAGCCATAAAAGAAGAATTTAGCCCCAAGAATTTTACTATCTTTCTAGATGACCTTTTTATATGGGGGGGGGTCACTAGAGATTTTTTTCCCCAGGGTTTAAATTGGACATCTTCTTACAGTTCAGTTCAAAATTGGCTGGTGAAATAGTTTCCAGGCAATAAAACATGCTGAGCTTGCTGAGGCCCCGCCCATATTGATCTGCAGTCATGGAGTGCCTGAGTGTAAACGTTGCCGTGTAGACGGTGGGCTAGAGTCAGGCTCTCAAGCCGGTCGGGAAGAGCAGTTCTGTTAGCAGGGATGATGACAGACTACCTCAGGGCAGTTGTCAGGATGTGGAGAGGTAGTTAGACACAGCCAAAGTGCCTGACACCAGGTGACTGCTGACTGGTGCTGTTGACCCCAAGACCCAGCATGGACGACAGAATCCCATGGGGCTTTGTTTCAGCGGATGAGTCTGAACCAGTTACTTCTCTTGTTGCCTCCTGTGTATGTACCAACAAGCTTTACTCTGTTCAAAACAGAAGCAAAGCTTGATGAAGTACTCTGTAGATTAGGGTTCCCAGTGAGGTGGGTCTCAGCCAAGATTGTTTTGCAAGGATCTGTCCCACGGCTTCGACACCCCAGTGCTGTCTGAGGTCATCACCGCCTGGCCTTTTGCAGAGCAGAAACTGGAGGAGAGAAGGGTTTCTTTGCCTGCGTGTTAGGTGGCAGAGCCAGGAAGCAGGGTTCCTGGCTCCCCGGTGGCGGGGCCTTTCCAGAACACCACACCTGTAGCCTCATGAGACATTGCCCGCCAAAACAGCTCAGCTCGACAATCAGGCTGCAGGGGGCTGCACCCTCTCCAAGGCACATGCTCACGGTGCCCTCTGACCCTTCGAGCTTCCAGCTTAGGTGGTGGTGACCCTAGCAAGCCAGCCTTCAGCAGTACTCAGTAATTTAAACAACAACCCGGGGTCACCAACCACAGCAGGTCTGCACTTTGTAGTTAAAACTGAAATTGGTTAGTATTTTTGTTGTAAAGACCTAATCCTACATTCCTTATTCTTAAATTTATTGTTCAGTATCATTTGAATGACTATGAGATAATGTATATGAAGGCACTTTGAAAAAGTATCAAGTGTAATGTAACTATATGGTTGTGTCATTAATGTCTTTTCAGAAGGCGTTTAGCTATGGGGGAGACCTGAGATTAACAGGCTCGTCTGTAATTCGTGCCATCCATGCTGCCCACTGCTAAATGACTGGGCAGGTTTAGCAAGTGTTCTAGCTAAAATTCAGAGCTGAGTAACTTCTGAAAACGAGGGACCAACTTCTTAGTTTAATTCTGATTTTTAAGAAGCAGTAATGTGTCCTTACTCCAGAACATAGAAGCTCCTCCAAGGACCTTGTCTCCAGAAGGGTGAGGCCCTCTTGCCCTTGAACATGCATCTGCTGCGCACTGCACTCTGGCAGCCTGTGTGTTGGGGAGCCGACTGACTACCTGTTGATGTTGGCAGTGGCTCTTTTAACCTGTGTGGTTCTTTTGAGGGCGGGGAGGAGGAGCTGACTGGCCATAGAGCCAGTGTGGCTTATAAATGACATCTCCAGGATTTCCTACCCGTTCCAAATAATATTGGCAGTTATCATGTGCATATATATATTTTTTTTTCCAAAGACTAGCTGAGTTGAAGTCCCCTATTAGATTATAAAATCTTAAAGAATAAGTTGTATCAGTAGAGATTTAAAGAATGGCCACATTTCATGCCGATCTCCCACTCCCTTTCATTTTTTGTTACTAATGTCACTTATTTTTAGACTGTGCCCCCACAGTTCAAGTTGAGCTGATAGGGCTGTCTGTATTTCTGTTTTCTATGATTTTGGGGTCTCCTCATTTTGCTAGCATTTCCCTGCTGCACCTGGACTGGGGCCCATGACACCCTTGGCATCTGTTGGCGATCAGTCCCTCTTCTGTAGGTGGGTGTGTCTCTGGACTGGTCCCTCCCCTGTGCCCGTCTAGGCCGGTAGCTGAGTTCCTTTACCAGCATCTTCCAGTCCCAGGCTGTGTGAGAGCAGAGGAGAACCTAGAAAGGCAGCTCCAGGGCAGCCTGTGCTCTGGGACACAGGCCAACAGAGGCAGCCCCAGGGCTGCTGTAGCTTCTGAAGAACAATCAGAGAAATGCTACTGACTGTAACTTCACCAGGTGGAGCAGAGAGGCCTTGCCTGGTTCTAACGTATCTCCCACTCTGAACAGTCAGGCTCTCTGCTGGATAGAGTTCTGGAGCTTAGGAAGTCTAATGCAAGGGTGGCTTTTCCTGGTAAACCAGTGGTACCTAGAGTGCTCATGCCTGCCATTTGCCTTTTGCAGCACTGCCTCAGTTCACCTGAACATTACTGCCGTTCCCTGTGGCTGGGCTGGGACCTTGCCAGAGCCTGTCTGTCATATTTGTTGTCCTG